AATGGGCAGCGTAAGGATTTGAGCAACTTTGACAAGGGCCAAATTGTGAGGATTAGACGACTGGGTCAGAGCATCTCCAAAACTGCAGCTCTTGTGGGGTGTTCCCAGTCTGCAGTGGTCGGTACCTATCCAAAGTGCTCCAAGGAAGTAAAAGAACCGGAGACATGGTCATGGATCAGACCACACGGGCCAGCCATCACTCTCCTCGTGCATCAATGAGCCTTGGTCGCCCAACAGACGAGCTACTGTAGCCCAATTAATACCAGGGCACCCAGGTGTTGTTTTCTTTGTTTTCATTATGTAGGCTATTTGTAGCTCCTGTAGTGTCACTCAAATACTTTCTACAATACTATTTGTACATTCCTACATAAACCTGTAGCTTTACATGTTATGTGCGAAGTATCCTTTTGAAGTGTCTCACAGGAAAACAATAGATGTGTGAGGCTATAAAAAGTACAGAACTAATCATATAGGATGAGATGTGAGGTGGGGAGCTATCAGGGGAAAATGGATGACTTCCTAAGCTAAGGGAAGAAGGCTAAAGTGACCTGTGCTTTTACGTTAACCAGAGATGATCCTTGTGTTGCATAAGAATGATTACTGACTAATTTGCTTTCTTATTTAGGACCATAAACACCACCTGGGTTCGTCAATCAAATGCTTAAGCCAGGCTATGTTCACAATTCTGAATATTACAGACTTTTATTTCACCGTACCATGCTCTGGTTTTTAATGAGAGTTTATTGAAATCTACAAAACAGCTGACATGTTTTAATGTGCTGCCTTGAGACACACAGGTACAATTGGGAATAAAATCTTTCAGATTTGTCTGTGCAGACAAAAGAAAAACGTTCCCCATGGCCAAATAAACCTGACCTGCTGGGTCCCTATCGCCCCCAAGGCCTACCCACTCTCTGTACATTATAACCTTACTACTTTTCTATGCTAGAGCACCACCTGCTCACATATATTTTGTCACAGGGACACTCTTCAAAATCAGAAGAAGGATCCACCTGAAAGGAAAGGTTTGCCATGATGGGAAACACACTTAAATGATCTCTTCAATTAACGCTAGTGGTTGTGTGTGAGACTATTTCTTTTTCCAGGTGAAGTGACTTCCTGGAGTCTTTCCGGGTTGCCTGGCAACCTTCTAAACTGCAAGGAAGCAAATAACGTGTATTTCCCAAAATGTTGAAACATTAAGATAATATTGAGAGTTTAGAGACAACTCGTGGTAGTTCATATCAACTATAACTGCCTACTAGCACTGTCGGGTTAGTGTTAGTAAGTGAAGTGATAATGTGAAGTGTAAAACTGTGTTTGGGCTGTGGGTGGCTCCTGCTCGTGGATGCGGCGCAGAGAGGGGACCAGCGTCGCCATTTTTGTCGTTCATCCAGAAGCCCTCCCCCTCCCCGGCGCATCTTCACCGGGAAACCGTCCGACTTTCAGTCAATTCAGTGGGAAGCGCCTGCTGCATGCACGGTGGCGAAAAGATGGCCTCACCAAGGACAGTAACTATTGTGGCGCTTTCTTTTGCTCTGGGTTTGTTTTTCGTGTTCATGGGGACCATTAAGCTCACTCCGAGGCTAAGCAAAGATGCATACAGTGAAATGGTGAGTAATGTTGAATGGTATCGATAAACTGCCCTCAGCTGGGGGGGGGTAAAGGCCATTGTTCTGTGCTGCATGCAGACTCGGGAAGGCTCTCAGGCTCGAATAATGTGAGGAGATGCTGACCTAAATAGTAAAAGATACGGAAAATAAAATGCTTTCGATGCAGACTTGCTCTTTTAGTTGAACTGCACACAGGAGATGTATGAAACGCTGCGACCTGCTGTACTGCCTGTAACAACACAGTTAGCACACATGCTAGTGCAGTGTGTTGTAAGATAACCCTTGAAATATGTCGGTATTAACTCATGTAGCATCCATTGAGGACAGATAACGTTACATAGAACAACCCGAAACGTGTTTGTCACTACATAGTAAACGCTGAAGCAGGGATGAATAGTGAATGCATCTTACTTTAACACATTCTAGCTATAATTTACCTTAAAGATGCACGTAAATGCCGGATAATGAAGATATTTCTAAGTTATAGCTGTCTCTTTATAGCCTATTAAATATGTATAAGCTGCTACGGTTCTCCTTTAATGTGAAGAGCAGATTAACAGCTAGAGAGCAATGGCGGCGCATTCGAGCAAATTCTGTGAGCTGCCTGTCGGTGCTGATGTTGAAGTGTCCTGTGTGGAAGATGATTTCTGACATGTCTAAAGGCTAAATGCAAAATCCAACCTAATATCCTCAGAGGACACTTCTTTATGGTAATTGTTTACCTCTATAGGATTTCTTGAGTCAGGGAGGAATAGGCCAAAGATCAATTGTACAACCACAGTGCTGGAATAAAAGCATCTGAATGTTAAACACTAGACTGGAGACTGGTGACCTTACATGGTCCTTAAATGGCCTCACTAAAAGACACCCGTGGGAGTTTTGTGTGACCTTAGTTAAATGTTAGTTATTTAAAAAGATCTCTACTTTCTCCTCTCAGAAAAGGGCATACAAGAGCTATGCCAAGGCATTGCCGGGCCTGAAAAAGATTGGGATCAGCTCGGTCCTACTTCGTAAGATCATCGGCTCCCTGGAGGTGGGCTGCGGCATGGTGCTCACCCTCGTGCCGGGCAGGCCGAAGGATGTGGCCAACTTCCTGCTGCTGCTGGTCATGCTGGCTGTCTTGTTCTTCCACCAGCTCGTAGGAGACCCCCTGAAACGGTACGCCCACGCTCTAGTCTTCGGTATTCTGCTCACCTGCCGACTGCTTATTGCCCGCCAGAGTGATGACCGGCCGGAAAGAGAGGACAGCAGAGAGGAACAGCACATCAATGACCAGGAAAAGAACAAGGTCAAGCAGTCTTAAGATCCTCTCCTACTTTGGTCCAAGCTACAACAATGGGAACCTGGTGCGCCTCTATGGATTGTAGTAATTCAGATTTTGAAGGAAACAGTCACTCCCGGTAGTAATAATACCCCTCACACACATCTCGTGTCTCATCCGGCCGGCTGACTACTACTCTCACCTGCTCCTCTGCACTCTAAATGTGAAACTGAGAACTCCTGACCCATGCATCCTTTACATAACCGTGGACAATCATACCTGTGGAAACGCCGTTGAACTCATCTCATTGTCACAATAGTCAACCCATTTTCCCTATTTATTTCAGTCCTACACTGTGTTAAATGTGTTTGTGTTCTTGTTATTAGTCAAGTATGAATTTCATTTATGTTACACGTTGATTTGAGAATGCTGTTTTTCATGGAAGAATCTTTGTAGGTTGTTTTTCTAATTTGTTTTTATACTGTAGGTAGGAGAGATTGATGAATTATGAATTCCAATAGTTCAAGCATGTTTCATTTGGTCAAGAGTATAGAACATACATCAAAATGAGCACCTTTAAAAGAATTTTGTACTAATTATACATCAGCTAGTATTACATATCCACATCTTATGTTGGTGCAGTGTTACCCGAAGGCTATTTTAGAAAGACAAATCTATTCATTTTTGCAGATGTGCGCATGAAATCCTTTCTCCCAGAGTAAAATAAGCTGAATATCCTCTCTCTCCTTTCAGTTCAGTTACCACAGTGAAGTTGTTTAGCTGGAAAAGACAGCTAGTTGCTGCCTCAGGTGTCTGCTGCTAGCTTGTACAGCAGAACATAACCAAATCAAAAAAAGTCTTTTTGCCTGTTAAAAATTGAATTTTACCTTTTGTAATTCACACTTGAAGTCTTAAACCTATTCACTGTCTCATCTGTTTGTTTTTATTTGTTTCTCTCTATGAAATATGAAAAGCATTCCTATTACAGTTTTGTCAGGGGATGAAATCTCAGTTGAAAATTGTCAGTTTTGAGATTCACAATATTTCTGTAAATGATGAACTTAAAATAAAGAATTGGAGGTAAGACTGACTAATTATTGTTTGTTTTATTAGCATTCTTGCATTATATTGAGTCAAAGTACTACCTACCTTCAGTTTGCAACAATGGGTGCTGTTGTTTGATTTTTGTGTTGTAAACTTGTTATATAGCTACAGTCAGTCCCTGTCAGGGTAATTCCTTCATATCAGCACAGAAGCTACATGAAGTTTTATGGCCCCAGATATAAAGTGCTCGTCAGTAAGTAAGTTTATAAGGTTTAGCATTAAATGAATGTAGATATTCAGCAATTCTATCATAGGGGAAGTACCCTAATTAAATAACTTTATTTAGTAAATATACTTTTTGCTGTAAGAGGATTTCTGACTGCAGAATTTGGCTGACATTTTTAGAGAATGGGCTGAAACTGTTCTGTGTGCCAGTGCCATTTTCAACGCAGCAAAATCCCTAATCCTAACCCAACATGGGCAGAAAAGGCCCAGGCCCATGCGGACCGAACAAAGAAAGTGAGGGGACAAGCAGCAGCGCTCAGACACAAGGGTCCTTCTGTTGTGTCTTTTGCCCTTAAGACAAAATTGGGTCATTTTGCTCCTGCTTTTACCCCTAAGCATGAAAACTGGACTGGAGGTCAGTTACAGTTTGGGGGAAAGTTTTGGGGCAGTAGACTTCATTTGAAATTGTGCAGTTTTTTCCCCCAAAGAACTAATTGTCACTGTTATAGTAATGTTTATGATCAACACAAAAACAAATACTAAATACAGCAATATTTCCTTTTTTACAGAGAATGCAACCTTCTCCATCTCCAAGTTTATGTATTTTTTGTTTTATTTTACCAGGTTTAGTTGATCAGTCAGTTGACAGAAAACTAATTGGCAACAATTTGATAATTCTCCTACAATTAATGACATGTTTTAGGCAAAACTGCAAAAAACAAACAAAAACAAATGAGTGATTTCAGGTTCTTATATGTGAATATTTGTTGTTTTTCTTTGTCTTTCATGGTAGGAAACTGAAACCTTTGGGTTATTGACTGTTGGTCAGAGAAAACAAGACTTCTGAATATCTTAACATGGGCACTGGGAACTTTTGAGATGGACATTTCACTACATTTTCTTGACCAAAGTGATTATTTGAAAGAAAAATGGAGGAGAATGGAATTGTATCTTTGGTGTTCAGAGCATTGAAAAATTACATAAAAAATCTGAACCAATTTATTTTCAGAGACAGTGTCCCAGTTATTCTGAATAATTCACATACCTCGTGAAGATTTCACTGCAACTCATTTCTACTGAAGACATACTCCTGAGAAAACTCTTGATAGTGAGGTCTGTGGATTATCCACAGTGATTTTAAATGTCACATTTCAGTACTGTCTGAGCACCACAAACAAAATCCATTCAACTGCATTATCTGACAGCGGTACCTGCTCATCCCAGGGAGTGATATCTCAAAACCTGCACAAATAAAAACATCACAAAATGTCAAAATCCTGGCAAAAAGCTAGCTCTAGCAGAGAGCTGTGTGTACTGGTACGTTAATATCATTTTATTAGGAAGTACTGACCAGCTTTCGACGTTGTTAGAAATATATTTTCCTCTCACGAACAACAAACATACACACATAAACAGCTAGCTATTGTGGGACTGTAGTTCACGCCTCCGTTTGGTTGAAACTGAACGGACTACAACTCCCGGGGAGATTAGGAGCGGGTGGACTATACTGCGCAAGCGCAGAGCCAACGGGCGCGGAGGATTTGAGTTTTGTTTGAATGGCTGAGGACGGAGTTAGTACAGTGCAGAGGGTTTTCAAGTTGTTTTTATAGCAATGTAGAAATGGCAGCAAAGCTAAACCTGTCGGGGCCGTCGGATTCAGACCAATCGTCTCTAAACGACCAGTCTGTGTCCAACCGGAGCATTAACAGAAGTCTGAGAGTCGCAGTAAAAGAGAAAAGGAAGAACGAGGCGGGGGACGCGTTTGTTCTGGCCCTGAAGTACTTCTCCGACGGTAGGCTCAAACCCACACAGGTCGATAACAGATGGTGCTCTGTTACCAACGGCACTAAGCTTTTTCCAAGTATAACGCTATCGAGCCAGCTACAAAAAAAATAAGACAACGCAAAAAAAAAACTTTAACGTAACGTTATAACTTAACGTTACGTTAAGTCAAAGTTACTTTCGTATCGGCGTTGCGGTGCAGATTCACAGCTAATGTTGCTAAGTCACTTTGTAGCTCCCAACCATTGACCGTGTATATCACGTTAACCCAACTCAGCGGTCCATTAGTGTGAAAGTCATTAACGTTATGAACAAACGCGGTAATTAAAAGCTCTGATACCGGAGGATCAACCCGGGGGGGTGTGACGTCATCTGTTGCCATTGTTAGTGTTGACCCTGTTTATACTGAATCTGTAGGATTGTTGACTTTTGTTAAGATTTTACACCCGAGAGTGGTTTAATGCAGGTCATACATCTGCGAATTAGACAATGCAAGATAATGAATATATTGACTGACTGATTGTATTTATTGAAGTGGTGCCCAGCCCATAATGGGCTTACAAGACACTAGAGCAACATCAGCCAACATGGCCACATGACAAATTTTTCTTTTACCAAAATGTTTTATTATGTTGGATACAGCGCTCAGTGTCTCCATTGCCATGCATCTTCTATGTTTTTGCTAGAACAAAAAACTCGTTTAAGAGCCATCTCAACATTTCAAATTCAGACAACCAAAACAAATCAGGGTTCTTTAGTTGGATTTCAGTTGGAACAGGTGGTTCCTCAAGTCATTGTACATGGTGAGTCAAAAAGAAAATGACATTCATCCTCAATAACACCAATATAATATGATTTGTTTTTTGAATTGTTACCTACATTCTGATTGTTGTAATATTGTCCTAGAAGTTGTTGCCCTCTTGTATTCTGTGACCTCCATGCCAAATTTCAGCCTCCTAAAGCTAAAACTGTGGCTGCCAAAGGCTGGGGAAATTTCCCCCGACCAACTGAGAGCTTCTGGTTGCAACTAAAAAGATTTCATTGGGAATATTCACTGTATACAGAGCAGTTTCATGATTTGTCACACCAAATTCCTGAATATTTTATGGGGGGTTTACACTAAGCAATAACTGTTGAAGCTAGAAGCTTTTCATGTTGCCAACTAACAGATTTTCTGGAAAATACTCAATTTTGTTCTTGCAAACAGTACAACACACTATCTGTTAGCGGAAGAAACATCTGAACTTGTTGACACTACCTTTTGTCAAACATACTTACTTAGTATGTACTTAAAATACTCACCTGTCAAACTGTGGACGTACTTCAACATTCAACAAACACAATACCCACTGATGTGATTCCTCTCACTCCTGTAGTTGAAGCAGGTACTCCTGTGCGGGGGAACGATGACTTGGAGAGGAACCTGGTGCTTGTGGAGAAGGTGGCCTACAGTAAAGGGCTTTCCCCAGAGGCCATCGCTATTATGCTGGAGTTTGCCATGAGCCTCCGTATGGGTAAGACGGTCACCAAGCAGCTGCTGTGGACTGAGCATGAATTGTGGACCTTGTAGCAGAAGGAATGGGCCTGTATGTGTAGACCATAATACCATCCATCCATGCTGTTTGGTGCTTCACCTGCACAGGGTCGATGGGGGCTGCTGTCTGTCTGTGTACACCTTGGACAGGTTTCCAGTTTATCACAGGGCTGTCACACTCTTGTTCATATGTCAGTCAATTTAATTGTGGCAGTGTTAGTCACTGTGATCCACTTTGCTCTACGCAATGCAATACCATCTGCTAGTTGTGTCTTAGTGCCGTTTAATTGACAAGAATGCTGCTGCCAAATATCACTTATATGGTAGAAATGGTGTGCTGTCCTAGCAGTGTGATGTGAGCACATATTTCTCACACACATTTAAACATGTCGCACAAGCATTGTTTTTTAATCTCCCCCAAGATATAGGAACACCTGTGCAAAGTAGAAAGTGTGTCCGTCTTAACACTTGCTTCCTTTAACTGATTTTGTTTCTATGAATTTCTCTGTGTAGGGACGATTCTCTGTCCCCGGGTGCTGAAGTGTCTGATTCCTGCCACTGTGGTGCCACAGGAGGCTGTTGTTCGAGCAGTGGCTTGGCTGGGTGTTGGCAAAATACCTTTCGGCACACAAGTAAATGCAAATCCCTTTTGTTTGCAATTTAAAATATTAAAACTTGAAGTTTAAATTTTGATCTGAATGAGTTTTTTTTTTTACTTTTTTACCAATTCTATAATCATGATTTCTGTCAAATCTGGATTTTATTTGTCCAATTTATTTTTATTTGTTTTCAGTTCATAAGTAGTTGGAAGAGATGTAATATTACCCTTAAAGAATATGTGCTGACTTGTATGTTAAATTTTCAGGTTCTTTTCATAAAGTGGGTGTTGACCATGTTTGACTTGATTGATGCAAAAGATGACCTTCGTGCTATCTATGGCTTCATCTTCAGCTTCGTCACAGAGGAAAATCTGGTATGTATGCTGATAAGCAACAAATATAGGGTTCAATGAGCTTATTTGGCATTTAAATGACATGTGTGTTTACTGCATAAGCCAGAGCTATTTTTTAAGAAACAAGAATGAAATGCCAAATGCCATGTTTATTAATGATGTGCCTTGTTCAAGTCACCGTGCTTTGAAGAACCTCTGGTACACACAGACTTGGTGTGATGCATAAGGGTTTAGGCCTATAATTCATACATTACAAAAGATGTTTGTGTTGTTCTGTTTGGCTGAAGTTAATCTGTTAAGGTGAAAAATAACCAGTTTAAAGAAGCAGGTTAGTGAGTTATCTGTATAACTCTGCTACTAAAACCAAAAATCCCGTCTTTCATATCTGAAACTGAAAGTTAACAGTTGTATTCTGGATTTTCTTCAGCAAAGTTTACATAACTCAGTAAAAATGCTTATTGGAACAGGTCCCACTGCTTCTCAGTTGTTGTTTGTTCACATGTGAAAGACTGTCTGCTTGCAGCGTAATGAAATGACTGCAACACTGTAATGTGATATTGGATCCACTGAACAACTGCTGAGATGCAAAGTCATTATCTTTTGTCACGTTTTTCCAGTGTCCTTACATCTGCCATCTGTTGTACCTTTTGACCAGAAAGGAAAGTGGTAAGTCGAACATTTTCACTCCTAAAATATGGCTCATTTGTAATGCTTTTTTCCCACATTTTTCCTGGTTTACTCCATTATTTCCTGTCTTTAATATTCATTCTGCTGCTAGCATTATTGACTTCATTTTTTCCTCATTGTAGTGCGTGTCTTCCGAGTCAGGAAGCTACTGGAACTACAGAGTAAACTGGTAAACATCCTGCTGATTTGATTTCCTCCTGAGCATTATTTCCTTTCTCAGTATGAACATCTAGTCAGTGACAAATTGCAGGGTGTTTCTTCACTCCGTGCATTATTCCCATTAATATTTACCCTTTCCATACCATTGGTTATTGATTGTTGATATTCTTTTTCCTCAGGGAAGGCAGCCGTTCCTCCTGCACCTACTGTCACTTTACAAAGTGTTTTGTCCTGAACTGGTGACGCTCTCTATTCCGTCACGAATGAAGGTTTGTACATAGACTGTGCAGTTAATACTCCTTCCCTTGTCGTAATACCGTATGACCATCATCTCTGGAGCACCGAAGGAATTACATGTTTTCTCTTTTCTTACAGAGTGGATTTAGGAACCACAATTCGCCCTGGAAATCAGTGTTGATTGGTGTCCAGAAGAGGAACGGTTCCCAAGTTGCCTCCAGCATCGGTTTGGCCTTCACGGATAAAGATAAGACCAACACTAGGAAACGGGTATGGAACTCTGTTTAAGTTGTCAGATGCACTATTAACTGTGTTTGTTTGTGCAAAATGTTAAAGTATGATTGCAGGGAGCGACGTGTTCATAGGATATTGCTGAGTATCAGATCTAGAAAGTGTATATTTGTAATGAGTCCGTTTTATCTTTATTTAGATTTTTATTAATTCAAGGAAATAAAAAAAGTATATACATATAAAAGCATATGCTAGCATAGGACTGTCTTTATTTGTTTTACCTCCTTTTTCAGAAACACTGCCACCTGGAATTGCCGGCTTTGAGTTCTGTAGTCAATAAACAGGCTCAGACTGAGCTGTCCTCCAGCAGAAAGGTGGTCCCCCTCGTGCAGCTCCACTCCTTTGCTCAGCTACTGGAAAATATGCACCATATAGAGGTAATTTCTCCCAGGACTAAGCTCTGAGTTATGAATCTGTGGGGTGCTGACACAGAGGCCACCGTCTCTCTTCACTCTGCTCCCATTTACCTCAGCGCCCACTGTTCCGCTCTTAGTCCCATAGCCCCAACACACCTGGAGTGGGAACAGATGGAATATTATCTAAGCATTAAGTGTGAGGATCATTAATCATTTACGCTGCAGAATGAAATGTATGCCAGTTTCTCCACGGCATTAGGATGCCTAACCAGTCTGTTTTAACTGTGTAATTGTGATACATCGTCACAGCCACAGGGTGGTGCTGTGTCACTGTTATAATTTTGTCTGTACATCATACTTGGCCGCTAACAGTTTTGTCCTAGAGAAACTGCAGCAGAGGTGGCCTGGGACTGTAATTTGTTTATTAGATTAGAGCATAAACTAACTTCATGAGCACAGTGCTTATCATTTGTTTTTTAAACAGATCGTTATTCTTTTTTACAGATATCATCAGTAGTTTATCTATGCTATATGAGTAATGAAAGCAAAGGCCCTGAGATGAGATGTATCTAAGTAATACACTGGACAAAGTTTCCTAGGAGTTGGTCATTTAAAGATTCCTCTCCATAAATGTCTATTTGCCCTGCAGATTCAGTGTCCTGATGAACTGATATAAGTCATTTTAAATGGCTCACAGACTTTTATGCGTCATGCTACATAAATTCACTCCTTTCACTACCACAACGCCAACGTGAGCGATAAGGCTTTGACTCTACTTTGTTGCGTCTTAGTAAAAGACAGATGAGTACAGTCAATTACACTCATGAAACTATTCAGCGAAGGCACTGACTAAAGATCATTGATTATTTCCCTCATTGCCATGCACTCCTGTTGTCAAAAACTGAATAACGCTTTCTCAGTTTAATGATACAGTTGCTCCATAATTATCGAAGAACTTGGCTGTGTCCGTGCACAGTCTGTCTTCTTGATATTTATTATACTGACTGAAGTCCCCATATTGGGAGGCAGCTGTTAATACACAATAAGGGACTATATAAACTATCCAGTGTGATGAAAAAAATGTCCCAGTGCTGGCATAATGGCGATTACAGGATATTGACGAATTAGTGCCTAGTAGTGGATTGCTGGACCACTCAGTGAAAACAAGGACACAAGCATCAGTTTATTCTTTAGCAGGGAAAGGGATTGATTTGAATCTAACTTGAGGGGAACTAAAATCAGCTATTTGTGTTAATATTACTGTAATTTGTGACATTCGTGATTTGTGTTTTGAGTATAGTTACTTGGCAGTATGATTTTTGTTTTTCGCCTGTTCTTATTTGTATTCATGGATATTTGATTATTTTAGCCTCTCAACCATATTTTCTTGCATGTGTTTCTATTTCTTCCTCTTACCTCCACCAGCTGCCCGCTCAGATGGGCTCACTGCTGGGCTCCAGTCTGGCACTGCAGTACCTGGACTGTGTACAGGATGAGTCTGCCCTCCTACGCCTCAACTTCTGGCTAGGCTACGCTCTCCACGAAGGTAAGGGAGGCGAGAAAACAACTACAAAACTGCTGTGACATCCTCTGTCAGGAAGATTCCTCCAAAGCAAAAACCTTAAGTTGAACCCTCACACGTTACCTAGTTGGCATATCAAAGGGATTCTTTCAGAAAAGGGTTTAGAGAGGACTGAGGGGGGGGTGATCTGAAATCTTTTGCTGGTTTCCTTTTTATTCCCTCGACTTTTTCACTCACTAAATACCTGTTTTTTGCTTCTTTTTTTTGGTTGCTTTTTCTGTTAAGAATTTTTGTTCTGCGGCGATGGAGGAGCCTCCCAGAATTCAGAAGAAGCTCTGCAGTTTTTGAACAAGTTGCTGTCCACACAGCACTTTCTCCAGGTGAGCCCCACATTTCCGGCCCCAATAGCTACCTCCCACCTGTCATTCACCATTTCCTGTATTCCTTAACCTGCTTTAACCTGCACTAAGAGTAATGTTTTTCTCTCTACCAGGAGGGGTTTTCCAGTTCAGAGGCTTTTCTCTACAAATTTCTCAATGTGTGGGACGGCTCCCTCCTCCGCCCACAGATCCTCGGCCTGCTGAGCAACATTCCCGTTGTCCCCAGTTCTCGTGAGTTTTGCTTTCAAACTGTCTTTCTCCGTATTGATTGTTCTGTCTTTGTGTCAATCTATGTCACACACATAGACAACTGTTTTCCTCCCCAACTTTGCTCTCCACTTGAATGAAATCACAGCCATATCTCTGGAATTGCATCATGGTGCCCTGAATTATGTAGCTGGTACAACTGTAACCTTCTGTCTCCCCCGCTTCAGAAATCAGACAGCTCCTGTTTGAACCGCTCATGCAGCTCTTCTTCACATCCTCAATGTTTTTCAAGGTAGGCTTTCCTCTCAGAGGCACAGGTATAATGAGTTATCTCCTGCGTCTGTGCTTGAATTACAAAACCCTCTGATATAACTGAATAGAAAATAGACAGTCTTTTTTGGTGTCATTTTTTTTTAAGCCCTTATAATGGGTCCTGTATTTGATTAGTGTTTAACTACTGTATGCTTTTTCTTTTCGTCATCTGTGTGTGCGTTCAGTGTGGACTGATGGAGTGTCTAAACACTATGCTGTTGAAGTGGCTGACCTGGCACTCAGTGTATGCTCTGGAGGACGACTTGGACATCAGCCTCAACAGCCATACCTCCATGTGAGTCTCACATCTACTTCCTGCTACTTGTTTATGCCCTGAGCATAAACAAGCAATAGACCTGAAACACTTTGTGAATTTACTTGAGAGCATAAGGCTTATAGCTCTTTTAGCTTTTTACTTTCGAGCCAAGAAATGCCAAAATGCCTTCTCACACCAAATCAGTTCTTACAGATGCACTAAAAGTATTGAGGTCTTGCCCCAGTTTTATTTACTGTGGGTTAGTGTAATGAAAGAATCACTCCCTGTTATAGGAGTCCCAGTTGAGTAACCAATTTTTGTTTCAAATATGAGACTTACTATTTCTATAAATTTTCTGTCACACCATCGTCACAGAGTGGTTGACCCTTTTGTTCTATGAAATAAAATCTTGACTGAATCCCACACTGGACTATATACAGTAACTTTTAAGCTGTAATTTATGTCACATATTGTTCACTAGCAAGCAAAGCAACTAAGGCAAGACAAGTGTGTATTGATGTGTTTTTCCCTTTTGGTTTTCAGCCCATTTATCCATTAAATCATTTAATTGAAATTTGTTGGAGACAGAAACAGCCCCAATATCCAGTTAAATGATTTTCCAGCTTCCAAATGAAGGAGGGGGGAGTTGGTGTTGATTACGTTTTAATATCTGGGCTTTATCAGTATTGTCTAATTCAACAATGAACGGTCCAATAAGCGGAGAGATCCATTTTTATGCACTGCCATTTTCAAACTCACCTCTGGTATTTAGCTAGAACACAACTCGGGGGTTAGATGTAGAAATCATTGATTTTGTATTTGTGTACACTTTCCCAAGTGTTTGCCTCAGTGTTTGTCCTTTGTATTGGACTACCACATGCCTGAGTTTGGGAGCTTTCTTCTGTTGTATCTGAGACCTGAGTCACCGATTGATTAATGCTTCAAGGGCAAGGGAACTGACTAACTTTTACTCTCTGCTCTGCCCTCTGTCCCAGAAACATGACTCTTTCGGGGTTCAAGGATTCAGTGATGGAGCTGGTTCACTTCGTGGGTCGGCTGGCCTCTGTGGGCCTTCAACTGGAAGGCTGTCACTCTCTCCTCCTCAGCTTCATCCTGGACTTCTATGAGACAGTAAATGAGCTGATGCTGTTTAATTTTGCTTTGTGGCTTTGTCAACCTAGATACAGCCTGTACTTGTGCTTTACTGGTGCTTCTAAATGATATAACTTTATTTAAAAATGTGGTTTGCTTATTGTTACTTCACTTGGTTGTTTGCCCTTCACTGTGCATGATGATTTATGTATTAGTTTGACACTAGAAGGCTGTTTTCACAGTCATCTGTTGAAAAAGGAAAGTGTCTCTGTGTTTACCTTAAATCTGGGTTTAACATGTATATAACAGTATACATATTTGACATAACAGCTAGTTTGGAAGCCATTCATGGTCTGATGTGTAGTGTATGTAAATGCATGTTATGTATGTGTGTATGATGTGGAAACTTGACGTGCACAAACGCTGAGTGAACTTCACAGTGAAGAAGGAGACACGCATGTATGCAGCAGTATTATTATTCAAAGTAGAGTATTTATATTTCTTAAAACAGCAAAACATACAGGAAAGACAAGTTAGATAAAATATGGAAAGAATAATCAAGGATCACAAAACAGATGAGATCAGATGCATGTTAGCTTAATGAGATAACAGCAATAAATATAAGAAGGATTATTAAAAGAGAGTATTTAGTTAAAAATAAATGCATAAAATGAATGAAAAAAATCTTAAAATGGGCAACACTGATGATCACAACATATCCTAATATTCCAACCAAATAAACATTGACAGAAGGTTTGGCTTGCCTCCAATTCAGAGAGGTTTTAGAAGAGTGCAAGGAGATGAAGTTGTGTCTGATTTAGGAACAGAAAAGACGCATGTTTTAAGGAGTTCCCAGCTTTATTTGGAACAACAAAATTGCATATATTTGAAGACTGGATACCAAGACAGCCACATGGACATAGTATAATAAAGCTTCTTAATGAAAGTTTCAGCTCTGCGATATATTGTCCGTGGGAGTATCTTTTCACTCTTAACTTCCCTCCCCCAGGTGTGTGACACGTTTCTGAAGTACGGACTCCCCCTCGTGGTGATGCCTCCAGCTGGAGTTTTTTACCCCACCCTGTTCGCCGCTGACCCTGTTAGCGTGGACCGACTGGCCTACATCATGTACAGGTGGGGACTCTTCATCCAAGTGCAACCTGCCATAAGCCGATAACGATGCATATGCTAGCAACACCCTTAATGTGGTGCGTCATATGTTTATGTATATTTGATGGCAGGAAAAAACTGGACTCAAATAGCTTTGCTGTACTTAAATGTTAATGTATGATTTATGATAATGAGAGGCTAAGAGGCAATACACTTAAGCCCTCTCCTCTTTTTTTTTTTAATGTAGGACTCAAATGTTGTTTGTAACTCCAGGCTTTAATAACAGCAATCCCTCCAGCGTCGGCTAATTGACTACACCGCAGGCTTCGGAAGTAATTTTACCAAAGCTGAGCTTAAAAATGTCATGGCAAAAGAAAATTGGGACGTAATTGCATTATGTTTTTTGACAGACCATAGAGAACAAGCTGTTTTGCAGTAATTCATGGTCACAGAGGTCACTGCTCTTTTCTGTTTCTTTTTTTGTTCAGGTACAAGGTGAACTTGACATCAGCAAAGAGTCAAGAAAAAGTCACAGAGGTAAAAGCAAAAAAAATATTTTTCTTGGTATGCACGTCTGAAAATCAGCACATTGTGGTTTGCATGGCAGCGATACGTTTTGGTTCACTGCACCAAGTACTCGACATACATTGTGGAGGAAATGTTTTTTTTTTTTGCAGTGATTCTTCTTGTGATTGCATTTACATTTTAGGCATTTAGCTGCTGCTCTCTTCCGAAAGTGACTCTCTGTATGTTTTGATTCATGGTGTTAGTTTATATAGATTTTACATTTCTCAGTCCAGCTCTTTAGGAATTCACAAGCATCCACCGACAGCTGATAACCTTTTAATACCCTCTCAGATGAGGACTTAAAAAGTTGTTGATTTTAATATATCTACCACTGCGAGATGTGAATTTACAAGTACATGTCAAGCAGCCCGTACGCTGAAAATGTCAGTGGTACTTTTTATTAAGAAAAATATACTTGGTAAATGGCATGCAAATGAATCAGCACAGCAAACAACAGATGTGAAACTCTGCAGATATGGAGAGTGATTTAGTTGGATTCTTTGTTTCTTTCTTCTCATTTCGATTTTCGTTTGTTTTTTTTTTTGTTTTTTAGCAGGCCTTTCACATCAGCCGTCAGACGTTCCGTGAGTTCAACCACTACGTTGTCGTCATGGTCAACTGCCTGTGGAACTCCAAAATGTTTCAACCGGGCATGGATGTACAGCTGGGGGAGGAGCTGCTGCTCAAGAGCAACGTACCAGAATACTGGACGAGCTTCGACCTCATCCACCACCCCGCCTTCCTGAGCTACGCTGTCGACTTTCACCAGAGGGTGAGTGTGGGCCATTTAGGATGTCTTGATTTGTGTCTTACAAAGATATTTGGGTACGATCCTACCTGCTGCAGACCACGCAACACGTGTACCTTTCAAACAAAAGCTCTTTCCTTTTTTTCTAAACTTAAGAGGCCAGTGATGGATCAGTGTGCAGCCAGTCTGTGCAGTTTGGTTAATAGACTTGCAGGCAAGACAAGGAGACAAATGTGGTATTAATGTATCTTTCATAGAAGATACATTAATACAGAAAGACATTTTATTATTAATGAGTGATGCATGAGACATGGTTTTCATCATGTTTAATAATACACGTACCCTTTTTTGGTTCTGCAACATCCAGCAGTGATCTTGCGAGATGTAGATGGGTCGGCTGACGATAAATATTAATGTTCTCTCTTTATCAGTGCTGGCCAGGGAGGAAGGACATGGACCTCAACTCCATAAAGGTACGAAGGGTCTCCTTTTCATATCTGAATTTATAATGATGTTCTCATGTAGTTTGATGTGCATCAGTCATATTTCAGAGAGTGCTTTGATCATATAAATCTTCAGATGTCTCTGATGTGACGGGGTGTGTTTCTGTGTGTGTGTGTGTTTCAGCATTCCAAGCCGTGGAGCTGGTACCTGGAGTATTTGTTCACTCAGGGTTATGACGGCCTTAAACAGTTTGTTCAGAGCAATATCAGCCGGCAGCTGTCAGCAGGCGACGGGCAGGACAACGGCCTGTCCACGCAGCAGAGGTAGATGCTCAACTCATTGGAGAAGAAGAACAACCACTTAACCAATTTTTTTAAAAGACTTGTACATATTTCATCTCCTCGTGTCTTCCAAGCAAACAACTTGCAAGCGATCTGAGTATCTTTTTATGTATATAGATTTATCTGTTTATTGTGTATTCTTACCTTTGGTATTGTCCATTGAGCAGTAATAGACCATAACGCCCTGGCGGCAAATTGCCCAAAGCAGTGTCAGTAGTAGGTTTAAGTTCAGTGAATGCAAGTTCAACAGAGAATATGGTATTTTAATTGCTAAAAACCTTGAAAGTGTATCAGTGTAATGCACATTCATCCTTCAGGAAGGTGAGAAATAGCCACAAAATATTTTACATCACAGAAATAAAACACTGTAAGACTGAAGATTTGACATTTTGATAGCAAACTACAGAATAAGAACTAGTTTAATTTATTTTTCAGTATTTTCTGTCATTGTTAAATGTTATCACATTGACCTTCAACCAGCTATTACATTGAAAATGCATTTTGCTTTAGCTTAGCATTTGTTTTTGTGTTTATATATTCTTGTACAGCTTGCCATATGCAAAACCTGACTCTTGCACATTGTTGAAAATAAATAAGTGTAAGACTTTTACTTTAGAAGCAAATAAAATCATTCTGTTTTGTTTTAATAACGGTGCATATATGTCACAGTCTACAAGGCAGGTGTCTTGGTCTCTACCTGCCTCTATCAATAAATCTATCGGTTACTTGAGAATCTGTTCTATGGATTAGGTATTTTTATGCCTTGCAGTCAGTCGCTCTGCCAGCAGGGAAAAAAAGCATGTTGCTTTAATGGAGGGACCCAAAAGTCACTGTTTTAGGGCTGCAACCAACCCGTAGTTTCATCAGTCATGATAAGCATTTAAGACAGCACATATTCACATGTGAAAGCAGGAACCAGACTATCTAAACCTGTTATCAGAATTGTTGAATAAATTTTCAGACAAATTGATGAATTATTTCAGCTCTGCACTATTTGTAAAACTTTCAGGGCAATAATATTCATTATTTCGTTGTTTTTTTGCCTCTCATCTCTTTGGTGTCTTAATAAGAATAATGTTGAGTACTTATGACTTCACCATGAAAAGACAAATTTGGACAGCAGAGCTTTATTTTAACGTGCTGTAGCTCGATTGAAGTCTTCAAGCCACTGTCGAAAATGATAAAAGAGTTGAAAAGAAGATGTGCTCTCTCATCCTTGAGCCGAATTTCATCCTGACAGGTTTTTGCCCCCCCCCCACCCCACCCCACCCCCTCCT